GTCTCATATGTACATGCTTAAACTAATCATATCACCTTATAACCATACTCCAAGTTCTCGTTTCCCTGCTCTTCTTTTTCTGAAATTTTTTGGCACTCACTTCTTTTATTAATTAAAACAACAATTTTAACAGCAGTGAGACACTGAGATAATACTTTTCTTTTTTTTTTTTTTTTAAATTAATGTGTTCTTATTTACTTACTTTATTTAACACATAAATTCTTTGCAGAAAGGACTGTCTTGTTTACTGTGTTCATAGATTGCACCATGCTTGTACACCCAGTAAGTATCAAAAATTATAATTTTTTGTATATTGAATGCCCATTGAAAAAATGAATACTCAGGACTTTGCATCTGCTGAGAGGAGGGATAAGAAAAACAATGTAGAAAATCAGGGAGACTGTAGGTGGTTTTGTATCGCCACCATAAGATATACTCTTGTAACTGATAAGTATGTGTGTATATATGTATGACAGAGTGAACTGAGCCAACATCTACACAAAAGCGCACAGATGCGTGAATACTGAGAATCCCATGTAAATGAATGCAATTGCAGATATGTACATGCTCTCCTAGGAACAAGACATTCACCTGTGTGCACAGAAACCAACCATCCAAATGTTTGCAAGAGGGGAAAAAAAAAAACCCTGAGAAAAATTTGAGGAGACCAAAATGTGAATCTAATCCAGTTAATGTGTTCACAAACACATTTTCTAAGAATTTCCTTCCAGTTCACCTGTGCCTTTTGTAGCTCTGGATATTTATGTCTATCTATGTACTCAATGCACTATGGCTTCGGCAAATATAATTGCTCATGTGAAAATGATTCCTACTGGGACTCGCTGTACCTCACAGCTTCTGTAATACTGCCACACTTTGCCCTTCTGTTAAGTATCTCCCTGCATCTGGGGCCTTCGTGCTTCCTCGTCTTGTCATTTTGCAGATATCCGCAGTGATACTGCCCTCCGTGACTGTCATCACCATCATTATGTAAACAGCTGGAAACAATGGATGTTAGAAATAGAAGTATGTAATTTTGGGAGAGTATTTGCGGTTGTGTTCAGGAAGATGGGGAGAGTGATAATGGGACACATGTATGAAATAGCATTCTGTGTGGCAGAACTGGAGACTCTTTAAGAGCACATGCTTAATATGAACACACTTCTTCATGTTTAGCTCCCCATAGCCTATTTCCCAGCAGGACAAAGGCAAAGCTAGGGAAGTGATTAGGTAACAGATGGTAGCAATGACCCTTTCTCACTGGTAGATGCAAAAATATGGCTTTTGTACAGAAGAATTAATTTTGAATCACAGATGACCGCAAACATTACTACATTAATTTTTTTAATTCTCAGGTTTCACAGTGATTCTATCTATCCAAAATAATAATCCCAAGGCATTTGGAAGTCCCAAGAGCTAAGTCTTGTACTCAACAGAGAGCAGAAAAGATGATATTTTTATTGGACACAAGAAAAAAAAGTCTCTGAAGTGTTCTTGGCAGAATTCGGAAGACACTTGTGAAAGACATTATCTGTCTCAGTTGATTTCTGAGAGATAAAGTTAATTTTAAAAACCCCTTCTTTTATATATAGGGAAACAGATGTGCAACAAATGTATATATAATGCTACTCAGAACTTCACATTTGGTACAATATCTTTCTTCCTAAACCACTCAACTATGCAAAGGTCACAACTCTAACTAGCTGCAATTGCCTCTCTTGGTGAAGGTCTGAACACAGCAACTTGTCAGGACATGAGATCAAACAGAGCTGATTTTTCCAATCCATGTCTGGGAATGAAGCATATTAGTGACTACAGGAAGAAAAGTTCTTTTACTGATTCATTCTGTGCTGCACCACTTCTACACATGAATGAGTAACTGCAGTCTAAAGGGCACTTACTTTTATGCATGGTAATTACATTTAATATTGCACATAGTTTGGAGCAGACCAATTAGCATAACAACCGCCTGCATCTTTCTCTGAGGAGAAGTGGACACAGCACTGTCTGCAGTATTGCTATGCATTGGTTCTTCAATAAAACCTGGTTTACCTTTAGTGCCTGTCACCAATCCACATGTGCTGGGAAGAAGCCAGTCAGATTAGCTAGAAAACAAGAAGTCCATCAATTTAATCTCAACTACTCATAAGTAGACAGTCAGCAAGCAATACATACACATAGACTATTCATGGGGCTTTCCATCTTTGTGGAAAAATCCTCATCCTCTTGAGCATTTGGTTTTAAAAATGAAACAGAGGACTGGCAATGAAAATATTACAGGCTGGAAGGATTCATGGTGTATGGAGTTTTGCTTTGGCTACTATCAGTGTGCTTAAATGGAAGGTGAGCATGCAAGTGATAAAAACCTTCAGACACTGAGTTAATAGCCATTCCTATTTGGAGATGTCCAGGAATCAATACATACCGTGCTAGACTTTGTCAAAATTCTGTGCAGGAGCAGAGTATTGCAAACTTAAATTAAGCAAATGGAGCACAAACCTTTTCTCCTTACCTGACTGAAAAGTATCACTTCCACTATAATGAAGACCTAAAAAATCCTAATGACATTAATTAATACACTGCCTTTTTAAGGACTTATCTTAAGAGAGTATGATCGTATATCTCAAAATGTATACTGTTCTGCTCCACCTTTATTAAATGACCTCAGGCATATATGTGTGAACTCTATAAACATTTTGCAGTATTTCATCATTTCAGTGTAGGGACAATAAATGGCATATAAAAGAATATAAGTGCAGTGGAAATATCCATGTGACATAGCTCCTTCTTAAAAAGGATTACTTTTGTAGTACTTAACACTGTTGGCAACTGTATACCTTATCATAGGCTTAAAATTCTTGATGAGTGCACAAAACCAGCCCTGCTTCCTAAGTGAAGAGTCTGTTGCAGTCAACCTTGTAAAAAAAACCTTTTAGTGTCAGTGATAATGAAAATACCTGCTGCATATGACAGCCTTAAAATGGTGTCATGACCCGGTAATTTCTATTCAGTGCTGTCACATCCATGCGCTGCACAGATCGGGATTGTCATCATGTAAATGTAATAGGGTTCTTTATCCTGCATTGTTGCTCAGCTGGGAACAGTAATACTAAGTTTCCTGTAAGTTGTGAATAGCAGCAGGGGGCCATGAATAGCTTGGAAACCTATATTTTTTCCATTTATTTTTTTTAAAATGCAAATTACACTAGTAAGTCAAAAAAATCACTTTTGTTAAAAATACATTCAGAATTAACAAATGCCAAAGAGAAAAGAAAAGAAAAAAAAAAAGACACATTTGGATTGTATCTCTTGCGTTCTGAATATTTTAGTTTATAACAAAAGCCCAGCCTAGAAAAATAACATTCTTTACTGGATTTTGAGGAGGATACAGCTGTACAAATCAAATATGCCATCCAGATATTCTCACATTACTGTGCTCTAAACTGCTTCCAGAAGAGATCTGTCCACTAATCATTTAGCTGAATAGTCAACAGTCCTAATTTTTTAATGGTGGTGCTCTAACTGCAATTTAAGCAGGGTTATGAATACCAACTTCATATAGGTATGTATGTGTATATATATATGTATACCGTGTGTAAGCGAGTGTGTGTATCTACTCTATATGTAATTTATGAATACACATTTATATTGCAATCCGTAGTAGTTTAGATGTGCTTCCTATTTCCTAAGCATTTTACAAACATTAACAATTCAGACCTCACAAAAAGCCTGTGAGGCAGCATATTATTCCCGTATTATAGATGGGAAGACTAAGACACAGAGAAACTAAGGCCAAAATTTTCTAAATTAAAATCAGGCCTATAAGCTACGTGTAGACACTTCATTAAATTGTCTGACTTCTAAAATTGCTAACTATCAGTAGCTGCTGTTCCATGGGAAATCACTGAGAGGTATGAAAAATTATCGTCTGAAAATTGGATTGCTGCTTAGGTGCCTAAACTGGTTTCTTTTCATGTTAAAAAGTGATTTTTATAGAAATATCATTTTGATTAACTGGTATACAGGGAAAGATAAAAGACCCTGTTATGACATTTTCATTCAATTTAAACCTCTATATCTATACATCTGCTATATATAATACTACATAAAAGTAGAAACTTTTGTAATTTTTCAGTTATGGGAAATTTCATCCTGGCACTTGAAAGTTGTATGGGGTTTCTAAGGTTGAAAAGCAGCTCTATCCAGAATGAACTCAGAATTTCAGGTCCCTAAGTGTGAAAATTTAAATTTGAGATCTAAATCAGCAATGAATGCTTTACGGGATCAGGCCTAGGGTACGTGCTTGTTTCATGCAGGAAATTCCCAGCAGTATCTGAGACAGGAGCCCTTGGTCTACCGCATCAGAATCTTCCTCAGTGATGCAGCCCCCCACAATAGTTATTCCTGTGTATTTTATATACATAGACATACACACACATTCACACACTTACATATATATATATCTATCTATATAAATCTCACTGAATCAATGTAAGTATAGCTCCTGAACAGGTCCCATGTCTTGCTTTCACTGTTCCTCTGTCATTGTCCAGCGCTGCTGCTTGTGACACTGTACATCCATGCAGACACAGCAAAGGGCACTGGTTTGTACAGAGATGAGTGAGTGGTGTGAGCTCACAGGCCTTTGGAGCGAGGGCTTGGCCAGCAAGGAAAAGGGAGTTGCTCAGGGATACCTCAAGCCTTTCCAAGTGCTGACCTTTCCCCTTGCCCTCAAAAGCTACGTGTTCGCCTCAGATGTGGTAGGTGTGTGCGTTTGTCTATGCAAGGTCTGAGCAAAGAAACAATGACAATCCAAGTTTCTGAAAAACCTGAGCAAAATATTGGGTTTTCCTAGTGAAAGCCACCTATGTTCTTGAAAATACAGATCAGATGTAGAATAAAACATATGTTCCTAGGAGTTCAGAGTATTTCATATACACGTTGACCTACTAGTAAAATTCCCAAAGGCATGTTGTTGCCAACTACGTAACAGCACAGGGTTTTTTTTTCAGCCACAATAATACAGGAAGATAAAATACACATTCTAACACACAACAGATCCCCCAAATATACCACAAAAAGATCTTCAATATTTCCTCAACTCAACTATTCCCTCCCCGCCCTCTCCAACTGAAATCAAAAAATAAAATATATGGATCCCTTATGGTGCAATTAGAAAAAAAAAGCTCACTTACAGAGAATTTTTAGTTGAAATTAGATATAAAAGAGTAAACGTAGCTAGTACATATTCAATTGGCCTTTGTTGATAGAAATCTGCAGATGTCTCTGTAGTTAGTAAAAGACGTTTAGAGACAGCTATAAAAGCACCTACAGTGCGATAAATAAAACCAGCGGGATTAAGAAGCACTATTTCTGCTGCTTATTTCCAGTAGGTTCAGTTATTAGTTTATGTTACCCCTTTCCCCGCCCTGACCCCCAGAAGGTCTTATTTCTTTCTTTCTTTTTGTTTTTAATCATTATAAACTGTTCCTTGACCACTGTGGAGTCTCAAAAGTAAAGCACTTATCAGACAGCTGGCAGTTTTCTACTTGGTCGCTCTGGAGCCATGGAGCAACAGAGCCTTATTCCCTGACATGAAAACAAAGCAAAACCAAACAGAAGAAAACCACTGACTTAGAAATTGTTCAGAATTAACAGCAGCATGTTAACTTCAGAAAGCTTGCACGTAGTTTCTCTAATGTGCAACGCAGTTGGGTTAAGGCAAGTATGAACTGTACAGCCTTCAGGGCAAACAATGCGCTGTCTATTGACTTCTGCTGCAAGGTCATCCTGGTATTTCAGCCTTGTGTTGACTAAGGAGACTCGATGCGACCAGGAGTGTGAAGGAGGCTCCCAAAGCACCGAGTTCATGTCTTAATCCGGATGGGTCACGCTGGTCATGGCCGGGGTAGGGAAGAGACAAAAGATGGCACCAATACCTCTACTCTGTCCCTCTGATGCTGGGAGGCAGGAGGTCCAAGGTGGGGCTCTGGGGCATCTCCTTTAGTACCTGTTAGAAAGAGGGGCTGAAAGTCTCTGTTGTTTTCTGTCTCCCTGTTCAATCAGCTTTTATATTTTTCTTTTAGCACAGAAATTGAATTTTTTTTTCTGTTTGAAGAATCAGGAGGCCATCCTGAACCAGTTTCTTTGACAGGTCTTCCAGCCCACCTTGAGTAGTCCCCATGTTTACTTTGACCTAGAAGAAAGACAGAAAAAGAACAATACTTATAATCCACCATATACCTGTCTGATCCCTGCCCTGCTGCTCTGGCACCCTTTTGCAAGCAAGTGTAAGCAACAAACCAGTAACAGTTCAGCTACACATTGGATGAACAGGACAGAAAGACAAAGTATTTGCTCAGGGAGCTGCTTGTCTCTCTGGAAAAGTGTTAGAGAAGTCAGCACAGGTTTTCTAAACAAACCTAGATAGGAGTTATATTTAATTATAATCTTAACTATATATCCATGGGTCAACTGGAAGATGACCTGACATATAATCCATCAGATATGTAGCTGCTTCTGTAAAAACAGGAAGTGACACAGTATGAGGACAGAGGGGCTGAACTGCAGGAGCAGAGGAAAGCCACTCATGGCTCGCTTGCAAAGCAGGGTGCATGTGCAAGTGCTACAGCCCTGTACACCTTAACAGTGTTGTCCCAAACCCATGTTTTGTGATAAAGTTTTCAGTCTAAAATGGACAAGATGTTGTTTGCTCATGATCAAAGCTTAGCTGATAGTTTATTTAAATAAAATGTTGTCCATAAAGTCTGAATCCCACAAACATGAGGACAAAATGATGCAGCGGATTTCTACTGCAGGAACTTGCTGAATGTCATGGTGGTTATACTTGAGGTGCTGGTCTTAGTGTGTTTTTTTATTTTTCATTTCTACTTTAAGTGAATGGTAAAGTAGGTAGCACCTTCAGTATGTGCAGTTATCTAGACAAATACTTATATGTGTGTGTGTTATGTGCTGCATGTGAGTGTATATACTGCAAATATTCTTTAGAATAGACTTCAAAATAGGAGGAAAGCAAGCTTTACTTTGGGGCTGCATTACTTTTGAGCAATTTCTCCAGTGCATTAGGCATCAGCATCAGACATGCACGTGGGTTTTTTTGTTGTTTCACTTCTTCTTTTCTTGAACAAACAAGTTTACTGTGAAGAACATAAAGAAAGATCTCTCTCCCCTCCCTCCTTCCTACTGTTTTTAGAACAGTGATCATGCAGTGCAGTCTTGTTCCACAACTACAACCGTGTTTTTTCATGTGCAGCAGAATCAGTGTCAGGGAGTGTTTAGTCACCTTCCTCGATCACCTCCCAAGAGCAGAATTTTCTCTTGTCAATTGATTTCCGCCATCTTATTGTGTTCTTCTCCCATGGTCTGGAAATGAGCATTGGCATCTCCGGCACAGAATGCCAGGAAGCTGCTTTTGAGAACATCAGCTGTGGCCACACTGCAAGGAGGTACATGAGCATCGGTTCTGTCCCGTTCTGTTCAAAAAGCGTATTCGTTTTGAAGGGACTGCCTAGGCTTCTTGGCTTGTACAGCATAGAGCACGCTGTTGGCACTTAAATAATAAAAAAACCCGATTTATAACAGGTAGATAAATGTCACGATAAGAATTCTCCCCAAAAACACCAGTGTTTTATTTAAAACATAATTTTAAATTGAATATTTTTTTCTCTTTAAAAAGAAAAGTGATTTAAAATAAATATGAAATTAGAAGAGATGATAAGGAGAATTGTGATTGTTATTAAAAGCCTAAAATATAGGGAAAAACCCCCAAAGGGAGTCCAAATCTAATATTTCTAGAGTACTCAAGGAAATAGGAGCCAGAGATAGTCAATTCACTATCTATAGGTAATGTTTCTTTTTCATAAATCAAGATTTTCCTTCCCCTAAGTATCCTTTCATTTAGGGTAGTTTTGCATAACTGATGAAATTCCACACAAATGTACTGTATGCATTTAAACTGAACTGGAACGTTCTTATAAGTAGAGCTTGATTGATATCACAAATAAAAAGTAATAAATCTTTAGACAAAAAAGTCCTGACACAATAGAAATGTAAACATGAGAAGCCTGAATAAATCAATATAATTATTTGCACGTGTAAGTTTGTGTAGGTTGAAAGTAACCTCCAAATTAACAAAATGAAGTGCTAACTTTAGCACACAGGACGAAACTTGTTACAAAACTGTGTGTCTTAATAGTTAGCAGTTAAACTAAACCCAGCACTCCTTCAGGATAATAATTAAATTGTGCATGTATAAGGCAGCTAAAATTGATTTAGATCACTTGGATGAAAAACTGTCTAACTTGAATAGAAATAAAGGTTTGTGTTGATGGAATTCTGTCATTGCAATCCTCTAAATCAATTCACATCAGCAAGAGGTAAATGGGTGATGACTGAGACCTACTGCACGATTCTGTATGTCTTTAAGATTTGTACTAGTTCTGTATATGAATTGATCTGGTAAATATATAAGGACTTCTCTCTGCTATATTACTGAAATACATTTTAAAATTTTTATGTTGACAGAATCTGTACAATCATTAGAAGCTGATATTATTTTGGTGAGATCTTCAAGGCTGAGGCCATATCTTCTTCCCTTCTGCAGCATGTCTAGCATACCTATAGGTACTACCACAGCCCAGAAAACAAAAGAATTGATATTGTGCCTTTGGATTTAGTTAGTAATCAGATGATTTAAAGGCAAGTGTTTCCTATTTTTTTTCATGAATCCATAGCTCCACATGAGTTGCACTCAGTGTGAGTCTGAATAGTAGAGGATGCAGAGGTGGCAACAAGCTATCTTTGTATTTTCTTGATCTTTTGTGGGAATTAGACGGGATGATGCTTAACAGATTTTCTGATGCCTATGGATTAAAAGACATTTTTTAGCAATTGATAACGTGGAAATAGTTATATGAATGTCGCTATATGGATATGTATGGGTATAGTTGTATGCTGGAGGGATATGATTGTACAGCGGTGAGAGTAAGGTTATGGACTCTGTAAAGTAGTAAGTCTCTCTCCTCTCCTGTCCTGTCCTGTCCTGTCCTGTCCTGTTCTGTCCTCTCCTCTCCAGCATTAATGCTGAGCACTAATGTTCAGCACTACAGGTGCTGAGCATTGTAAAGTGGAGGCGATATTGGCCAGAGAGTAACATAAAGTCTTGTGTGTTGTGGTTTATTTCTGACCTTGAATACTATGGAGGTTTACACTGATATTCCTTGGTGAACAAGATCTGTAGGGAAACAAACCCTTCCTCCCAACAAATAAAGCTTTAAAATATCAAGTATGGCTTGCTGTTATCATATCAGCATGTTTTGATCTCCAGTACATAATATTGCTGTAAATAGTGCTACAAGCAGATCAAACCTTGACTTGATTAATTTGACATTTGAATTTGTCACTCCACTACCTAATGGTCTGCCTATATTTACAGAGCAACTGCAGTGTGAATACATATGCATGCGTTCCTGGTGTGCCTCAGCTGTAGATAACAGAGAGGTATTACTAAATGCTGTAAAAGCCTCTTAAGGACAGATTGTAGCAATTCTAGAGAACCCTGTCAAATAGTATACAGTCAGAGGGAAATATCAAGTGTCTTTGAGTGCGGCTGGGACATGGTAATACTTTTATGGGTTGATTGGGCAAAATGTCAGCTCACGTTCTGATTTCTGTCTCTCTGTGAAGATGGTGAAATCACCTATACTCCAGTGAGAATGCAGCATTGAAATAAGATGGAACACAGTTCATGTGGATTAATCATAAATCTCTTTGTTTCAGCTACAAGCTTAAAGCCTTCTTTTCTTCCACAGGTCTATCTTTCTTTCCAGTCAGTATGAAGATACACAGTAAACACAATCTGTTCTTCTGGAAGAAACACTGAGAGCATAAAGGGAATGGGATAATATCTCAGCTATAAGGCTCCATATGTTGATGATAAGGTATGGTGTACTGAGAAAGAAATAGGATTAGAATTGTTCTAAGTACCTGTGTGCCTCATATAATACTAGGAAGGAAATAACATTTTCTAAATGCACAGCACTGTGCCAAAAGTGCAGGTGAAAACTCTTTACTTGAGCACAGACAGATGGGAAGCTGAAGTTAAGGCGGCATTGGAGGTATGCACTATTGTAATTTGAGATTATTAAAAAGCACCTATCAAAGCTCCCGAAGGGCCCAGTCCTAAGCACTACTGCAGACTGACTGTACCTCAGTAAAGGAGTAAATGCCAATTCCATGCAAAAATACACTAACCCATTAAGAGACTTGCTTCCACTAATCATAAGAAATGAAATCGCATTCAAGGGCGAATGGAAGTGTACACTGGGATGCCTATTGTTTGCTTGAATTAAGTTCTTTTCCTCAAAAGTGATGTTCAGAAGAGAAATAAAGGGAACAAAGTAAATGTTGCCCTTTTGTGAACTCTTCGGTGCTGTGCTTTTAATGTGTGGTTATTGATGGCAGACAAAAAATATTCCAAAAGGCTGCAGCAGTGAGGTAAGATTTATCTGGGCAGTCAGGACTGTTCTGAATTGCAGTTGGCATCAGTACAAGAAATATTTGGAGATGATTATTCCTGGAGTAGTCCGTAGTTGGATGTTAGCTCTAGTGTGAATATACCCCAGTTGTGTGTATGAGTGGAGTTTTGATTACCCACTTAATTCCCAAATATATCAGGCTGCACTCTGGGAGGGAGTTGTCACTCAGTGGTTAGGTAAAATATCGTCTTCTATTCAAATTGATTTAAAAACCCATATGTTGTTACATTTGTTTAGGTTTTTTTTTAAACATGGAAACTGGAAAGGAGGTTCAGAAGTGCCTCGGTGAACAGATGCTCTGGTAAGACAAATGCTAAATGCATCCACTAACTTAGCAGGTTGCTGAACTTTGATAAATCTTAATAAAAATCCACTTTTTTTTCCAACCAAAGTTTGTCATAACTGACTAGTTTTTTTTTTCTACACTGAATTCTCATTGCCTCTGAGTGGAAGCCACTTGAATGAAAACAGGGAAAAATCAGGTGAGAGTTGGGTGTTATTTGAATAACTGTGACACATGATATCCTGCCCTAAGAAATCATTATAATTCAACAGAAGAGTAATGTTGGTGCTTAAGCATAGCTTGAATTCAGTCCATCAAAAAAGGCTTCTGCCTATTCTGAATTTTTAAGTCACGTCATCTTTCAGCTTAATGATCCTTTAATATCAGCCTGCCACTCTGCAGAATATCTTAGAAGTTAAGTACTTACATATACATGGGCTGTAGCTGTAAATGAGATGTCTTCTGTGGACCTTGATAGCCGTAAGAGTCAAATCCACCTATGAAATCAACTGAAAGGGGGAAAATTGCTTGCATTAGCAACATCTTTCCAGAAGTGATAGGTCCTATCATTCAAGAACCACCCAGCACATACATTATTTTTGATGAGTCCCCTAATAATCTGTTAAAATTAGACAAGCTAATTGGGAAGATGCAAAAAAAAGTCTAAAAGAGGAGACAAAGGCAAACGTCCCTGTTTTTCCTTTTTAAACCCACAGAAAGACAATATGGGATTTATAACAGCCATCAGAAATAACCACACATCCCTCTTTTTCAAGTAGACCACTTCACTGTAATACAAAACAACATGCTATTCAGATACCACAAATGCCGAAAACCATTTATTTATTGGCATGAATGCATTGCTTCTGACTGTGATTACCGTGTCTGGTTTCCTGTCATACCATGGCTCACTGATGTAGAGGAGAGAACGCAGTGATCTGACTCAGTCTGAGAGACAGAAGTTTCTCTAATTCTTTGCTTTGACATTTGGATTGAAATGCATGAACAGAGAGTTGGAACAATTTATCTGAGCTTCAGAGATGAAACTTCTCAGCTGCAAGGAAACCTATTTCTCTCAAGGTACTGAAGGTCTGCAAGAAGGTTGTAGAGTGGGATTTATTTATTAATTCAAACCATTGCAAATTCCCAATGGTCTTTGCATGTTTGTTTTAAACAATTTCCAGGGAAATTCAAGCTCACTTAAGCTCAAGACCCCTGTTTCTCTGCTGTAATACTTTCTTTGCACAGGTAAAATGGTTCCCCTTGCTTCCTTCGTCCCAGGAGACCCAACTTTTGGCTTTTAGGGGTTCTTTGTGGGCAGTTCTCAGTCCTGAAATATTATCTCTTACATTAGAGATGTGAATTTGATAGAAAAGGGACAAAGTTCAGCTAAGGAAGTGCATTTTTCATGTGTCTTGAACACTGCTACTGACAGACTGGCTCTGCGTACATTAAAAGCAGAAAAAAAAGAAAAGGTTCTTTGATTGAGGACATTTTGTTGTTGATTTAAAATACAGTAACAATTACAAAAAAAAAAAAAAAAAAGGAAAGGTAAATTTACTACTCTTGGTTTGAGAACATCCACAGTGGCTGGAGTCCTTAAGACTTGCATTTCTAAGGTTATTTTATACTAAGGTACCCCTCAATGTGTCCCACACTTATCCAGACTTATCAATGCAGTCACATGTATTGTAGACATGGTACAAAAATATCAAATTCTTGTACACCTCTGTCCATAGCTCTTTGCAAGAAAAGAGCTATCAAAACACTAGACTGGATGGGTGCAGTACATTGCAACCACACACTTGTTGAACCTGTCATCAAGTCATTCTTCAGTGGCTAGAACGGTCCCTGCAGAAATAATTTATCTCTGTGCACTGTGGCAGTATTACGTATACTCGAATCCCAGAATGACGTGTTACAAAATTAATTCCTGGTATCATTAATGAAGAAGGTTCTATAGTCTCTCTCTGTTGCTTTTTCCTGTGCCTAACTTCTAATATCTAATTTAAATGTAATTTCCTGAAAATTAACTACTTTTCTACATTTTGGCTTTTTCTCCTTATAGATATGAAGAAAAATGAGCCCCCCCCCTTTTTTTCTCTTTTTTTTTTTTTCTCTTACAACTGCTTTTAAGCATTTTCCACAAGTATTTCATGCTATCCATTGTTTCCAGGTTTAAGCAAACCTAGTTATTTCAAACATTTCTCACAGCTCATGTTTACCAAGCCCTTAAATTTCAAAGCCTGAAGATCCTTCCTCAGTCTATGTAGGCTTTTCTTACAGTAGAGTGCACAAATCAGGGCTAACTGGGCAACTGCCTATAGTTTCTGTACATTACCTGGAATAACTTGGTCTTGGTTTGTATGGTTTGTTTCCTTTTTCCCTCATGTTTTTTTCTGTATTTGTTGTTTGGGTTTTTTCCCTAATTTTTTTTTTTTTTCAACAGCAACATACAAACTCTTAACAATCAGATCTTTATTTTTGTGTTTTGATACTAACTGTACATCTAGCCAAGTAGTCCATGTTTTATTTGAAGATGATTGATTCTTCCCCACAGGAGTTCTTTTGCACTTGTCTGTTTTGAATTTCATCTTCTTGATTTCAAACCACTTCTCAAGATTATTTTCACTTCTAATCCTATCTTCACTAGACCTCCAGTCTGGGTTAATCTGAAATTTTTACAAATGTTCTCACCTCTATCCTCCTTGTCCTTAAAAAAAATAATGAAGAGAATTATTTCCCTAGCTGAAGTCCCAGTGGGATCCCATCTGAAATGTCATCCCATCTGGTCTATAACTACATTTCAAATAGAGTTTTAAACAATTCTGCATACAACCTATGATGGCTGCATCCAGGCAGTACTTCCCTGTCCTTTTTAGAAATCTTTTATATTATCAAAATCTTGCTAAAATCAAGATAAATGTCATTTGTTGCTTTCTGCTTATTCACTGTCTGTAACCATCAGAATATCTTTATCACAATATGATCATGTCTTTGGAAGCATACTAAATTTATAGGGACAGAATGAAGAAAATTGTTGAGTGAAATGTTAGGCTAGGAGGAAAAAAAACCCCTCTATTCAAATACAAAGATTGCAGGAAAAAAAAAAAAAGGACATATCTTTGCCGTGTATGGTTTGTTGCTTGCTCGCCCCAATTTTTTTTTTTTTTTGGTCACTCTTGGTCCCTGTCAACACAAGTCAGAAAATACTTGTGTTGGATTAAGTGTCTCACTGTTGTCAACCCATGCCACTTCACGGAAGTTGCTTATATACATTTGTCCAGCTTTCTATTTCTTCTGTGCTTTCCTACACCCTTCAAGCAACTGGTAAACCATTATTAGTAGGCTGCAGGTATAGACACTCTGTTTTGCAGTTGTGGAGCAAAAGGTCTTATGGGTGACTTTAGGGTTGTTTCCAGAAAGCTGTTAGTGTTAATGTTAAATGTGTTAAGAAAAAGATTTCTTTGAGCAAAATAAGTTTGTGTGGGCACAAGAGAAAGATGCATGCCAAATATCTCTTCATGCATTGTGGCTTTGCCCTGTTGCACAGACTAATTGTTGCATGGAGCGTTAACAAGCCAGATTGTCAAGTGACAAAGAAGGCAAGCTCGTAGAGACATTTCTATGTTCAGCTTACTATGAAAGTTCCCATGTGTGTAACCAAACGATAGTTGGGCAGAGAGTAGTACTGTGACCTCATTGTAGGCATACAATGGCTTCTTACAGGCAACAACAAACCTTGCAAGGTAGGTAAATGGAAGTAATAGAAAATAAACTCCAACAGAAAAGGACTTCATTAATTTCTTTGTAGCAAGGTTTCTTGATGGCAGCAAACCCTGTGGTGTCTAGACTGTGCTAAAAGCTCCCCGTGGGCTCTAAACTAGTTTCTTAAAGCATGCAAAAGGCTGCCCTTTCTGCAGGCATTTTATCCTGGCTGTGCCTGAAAGGTCACTAAAAGTGTCGTAGAACTGATACACCCCTGGCAGCAGTAACATCAGATGAATAAAACAAGGCTCATTAGCTGAACCAGTGCAGAGGCTTCCATCCTTAACCTCATGCATCAAACACATTTTTGAATACTCTATTTTATATTCATCTTAAATGTCACTGTTATCACAAGTGGTCATGGCTTGTAGGTCATGTTTTTCTTTACTAAGAGCACATGTGAATATACAAGCAAGCAGAATCCTATTCTTTTTGTGGTGGGTTGACCCGAGATGAGCATCAGTTGCCCACCAAAGCCCCTCTAGCACTTCCCTCCTCTACTGGACACGGGAAGAGAAAATACAACAAAAGGATCATGGGTCAAGATCAGGACAGAATGAGAGGCATAGATGGGTTTCTCATTTTTCATTTCTGGAAATCTATGTTATATAGAGGGACCATTAAAATGGGATGCACAGAAAAGACTCCACTAGCATGAATGTGATCTGAAAGAAGGTTCTTTTTAGAAAGTTTGCAGTGAGAAAAATTGGAGCTGTTGAAATCAACAGATGGACAAAGAGAAAGGATTGAGTGTGGAATAAAAGCAGTATCTTCTTGTAGAAAGCAAAAGGAAATACACTTAAAAGAAACCAGATGACTAGACACTATTCTACTTATAGAAATTTTCCTCTGTAAGATATAAATACAGAAGCACAAAGATTCAGATCCTCAGCTAATATATATGTTGATAACTTCAGTGACTTCTATGAAGCAATGGTAATTTACATTAGCCTAGGATCAGACCCAAAGGATCCTTTAGGGTATATATGTATAGAAAGGTGACTGACTATGACTTTCCTTGCATTTTAGTAGGCATGCAAAAAGCAATGCAGACCAGATATGAAAAAATATAAAGTTTAGGAATGGCAAGGGGGACGAATGGCTTTATCTGCAAACAAAAGGAAAAGGAAAGGTTGGGAAACAGCCAGCTTGGCCAATCTGTAACCTGCAGTATGGATGACTTTTTGACTGCTTTCAGACCCTCTTCTAACTTTGTTCCTTTGCGGTGGTTGTTTGTTTTGCTGATTATCTCATCCCTACCCTTGATGCATAAGGGCCTGCCTCTCACCGTTGTGAATCTACTGCCTTCACCACCACGTCTGTTCCTGCCCATGGCTCCTCCTTTAAAAGTGAAAATGTCTTTGGTAGCAATTCTGTGTTAAGGGTGACATCTCTCACTCTCTTTTGCTTCACTGATGAAGTCCATTTTCTTGATGAAGTAGTTTGTCTTCTTCAGCTGTATTAGTTCTAGCCCGGAGACCCTCACCATTTCCTCATCTACATCCCTTCTCCCATCCCCAGTCATCTCTCTGCATGTAACTCTTCCATTTTTTTGTACTAACAAACTGATAAAGCAGAACTCTTTTCTTCAGGTTGCCAGCCTTTGTCACTTCTCTCACTATTAATTTCCTCTTCTCTCTTACTACAGTTACAAGAATTTTGTTCCATAAAACTTCTACTTGTCCCAATGACAGACTTTTTCTCTAAATCCCTTTTTTTTTCTTCATTTCCTCCCTAATAG